AGGGTAGAAATGAGGTTAGATCTAACCATCTACCCTAAACATTATTTTTGGATCATTTACGTTCATGTTTGACAAAGAATATACGCTCATTACGATGAAGAAGTCATGACAAAACATATACGAAGAGATTCCGTATGAAAATTCAAGACCCTTTGGGTCTCGCCGCTTAGCGGCTGAGGGTAGAAATGAGGGTAGAAATGAGGTTAGATCTAACCATCTACCCTAAACATTATTTTTGGATCATTTACGTTCATGTTTGACAAAGAATATACGCTCATTACGATGAAGAAATCATGACAAAACATATACGAAGAGATTCCGTATGAAAATTCATGAGGGTAGAAATGAGGGTAGAAATGAGGTTAGATCTAACCATCTACCCTAAACATTATTTTTGGATCATTTACGTTCATGTTTGACAAAGAATATACGCTCATTACGATGAAGAAATCATGACAAAACATATACGAAGAGATTCCGTATGAAAATTCATGAGGGTAGAAATGAGGGTAGAAATGAGGTTAGATCTAACCATCTACCCTAAACATTATTTTTGGATCATTTACGTTCATGTTTGACAAAGAATATACGCTCATTACGATGAAGAAGTCATGACAAAACATATACGAAGAGATTCCGTATGAAAATTCATGAGGGTAGAAATGAGGGTAGAAATGAGGTTAGATCTAACCATCTACCCTAAACATTATTTTTGGATCATTTACGTTCATGTTTGACAAAGAATATACGCTCATTACGATGAAGAAATCATGACAAAACATGTACGATGAAGAAGTCTTGACAAAACATTTCCGCTCATGTTTGACAAAGAATATACACTCATTACGATGAAAAAGTTTCGACAAATCATTTACGAAGAAATCATGACAAAACATATACGATGAAGTTTCGACAAAACATGTACGATGAAGTTTCGACAAAACATGTACGATGAAGTTTCGACAAAACATGTACGATGAAGAAATCATGACAAAACATTTACGTTCATTACGATGAAGAAGTCTTGACAAAACATGTACGATGAAGTTTCGACAAAACATTTACACTCATTACGATGAAGAAATCATGACAAAACATTTACGAAGAGATTCCGTATGAAAATTCAAGACCCTTTGGGTCTCGCCGCTTAGCGGCTGAGGGTAGAAATGAGGGTAGAAATGAGGTTAGATCTAACCATCTACCCTAAACATTATTTTTGGATCATTTACGCTCATGTTTGACAAAGAATATACGCTCATTACGATGAAGAAGTCATGACAAAACATATACGAAGAGATTCCGTATGAAAATTCATGAGGGTAGAAATGAGGGTAGAAATGAGGTTAGATCTAACCATCTACCCTAAACATTATTTTTGGATCATTTACGTTCATGTTTGACAAAGAATATACGCTCATTACGATGAAGAAATCATGACAAAACATATACGAAGAGATTCCGTATGAAAATTCATGAGGGTAGAAATGAGGGTAGAAATGAGGTTAGATCTAACCATCTACCCTAAACATTATTTTTGGATCATTTACGCTCATGTTTGACAAAGAATATACGCTCATTACGATGAAGAAATCATGACAAAACATATACGAAGAGATTCCGTATGAAAATTCAAGACCCTTTGGGTCTCGCCGCTTAGCGGCTGAGGGTAGAAATGAGGGTAGAAATGAGGTTAGATCTAACCATCTACCCTAAACATTATTTTTGGATCATTTACGTTCATGTTTGACAAAGAATATACGCTCATTACGATGAAGAAATCATGACAAAACATATACGAAGAGATTCCGTATGAAAATTCATGAGGGTAGAAATGAGGGTAGAAATGAGGTTAGATCTAACCATCTACCCTAAACATTATTTTTGGATCATTTACGCTCATGTTTGACAAAGAATATACGCTCATTACGATGAAGAAATCATGACAAAACATATACGAAGAGATTCCGTATGAAAATTCAAGACCCTTTGGGTCTCGCCGCTTAGCGGCTGAGGGTAGAAATGAGGGTAGAAATGAGGTTAGATCTAACCATCTACCCTAAACATTATTTTTGGATCATTTACGTTCATGTTTGACAAAGAATATACGCTCATTACGATGAAGAAATCATGACAAAACATATACGAAGAGATTCCGTATGAAAATTCATGAGGGTAGAAATGAGGGTAGAAATGAGGTTAGATCTAACCATCTACCCTAAACATTATTTTTGGATCATTTACGCTCATGTTTGACAAAGAATATACGCTCATTACGATGAAGAAGTCATGACAAAACATATACGAAGAGATTCCGTATGAAAATTCATGAGGTAGAAATGAGGTAGAAATGAGGTTAGATCTAACCATCTACCCTAAACATTATTTTTGGATCATTTACGTTCATGTTTGACAAAGAATATACGCTCATTACGATGAAGAAGTCATGACAAAACATATACGAAGAGATTCCGTATGAAATTCATGAGGGTAGAAATGAGGGTAGAAATGAGGTTAGATCTAACCATCTACCCTAAACATTATTTTTGGATCATTTACGTTCATGTTTGACAAAGAATTATACGCTCATTACGATGAAGAAATCATGACAAAACATATACGAAGAGATTCCGTATGAAAATTCAAGACCCTTTGGGTCTCGCCGCTTAGCGGCTGAGGGTAGAAATGAGGGTAGAAATGAGGTTAGATCTAACCATCTACCCTAAACATTATTTTTGGATCATTTACGCTCATGTTTGACAAAGAATATACGCTCATTACGATGAAGAAGTCATGACAAAACATATACGAAGAGATTCCGTATGAAAATTCATGAGGGTAGAAATGAGGGTAGAAATGAGGTTAGATCTAACCATCTACCCTAAACATTATTTTTGGATCATTTACGCTCATTACGATGAAGAAATCATGACAAAACATTTACGATGAAATCATGACAAAACATTTACGTTCATGTTTGACAAAACATATACGAAGAAGTCATGAAAATTCAATGAGGTGAGAAAAGAGGTGAGAAAAGAGGTTAGATCTCACCTCTTCACCTAAAATATATTTTTGTCTGATTTACACTCATTACGATGAAGAAGTCTTGACAAAACATTTACGTTCATTACGATGAAGAAGTCTTGACAAATCATAAACGAAGAAATCATGACAAAACATTTACGATGAAGAAATCATGACAAAACATGTACGTTCATTACGATGAAGAAGTCTTGACAAAACATGTACGATGAAGTCATGACAAATCATTTACGATGAAATCATGACAAAACATTTACGATGAAATCATGACAAAACATTTACGTTCATGTTTGACAAAACATATACGAAGAAGTCATGAAAATTCAATGAGGTGAGAAAAGAGGTGAGAAAAGAGGTTAGATCTCACCTCTTCACCTAAAATATATTTTTGTCTGATTTACACTCATTACGATGAAGAAGTCTTGACAAAACATTTACGTTCATTACGATGAAGAAATCATGACAAAACATTTACGTTCATTACGATGAAGAAGTCTTGACAAATCATAAACGAAGAAATCATGACAAAACATTTACGATGAAGAAATCATGACAAAACATGTACGTTCATTACGATGAAGAAGTCTTGACAAAACATGTACGATGAAGTCATGACAAATCATTTACGATGAAATCATGACAAAACATGTACGATGAAATCATGACAAAACATTAACGTAAACATTTATTTCCTGTGATGTTGTCAAAATGTCATGTTGTCACATTTTTTCAGAGAAGTTAAATAACCTGGTGACATGGTGACATGGTGACACCTTCAGTTCTTCAAAAATAATTCATAACTGCCTTCCTCCTGTGATGTTGTCAAAATGTCATGTTGTCACATTTTTCAGAGAAGTTAAATGACCTGGTGACATGGTGACATGGTGACACCTTCAGTTCTTCAAAAATAATTCATAACTGCCTTCCTCCTGTGATGTTGTCAAAATGTCATGTTGTCACATTTTTCAGAGAAGTTAAATGACCTGGTGACATGGTGTCATGGTGACACCTTCCGTTCTTCAAAAATAATTCATAACTGCCTTCCTCCTGTGTTGTTGTCAAAATGTCATGTTGTCACATTTTTCAGAGAAGTTAAATGACCTGGTGACATGGTGTCATGGTGACACCTTCAGTTCTTCAAAAATAATTCATAACTGCCTTCCTCCTGTGTTGTTGTCAAAATGTCATGTTGTCACACTTTTTCAGAGAAGTTAAATGACCGAGTGACACATGGTGACGTAGTGACACCTAAAAACCATCTACCCTAAACATTATTTTTGCTGAATTCAACAACAAAATGAACGAGGTCAGGATGTATGCAAATACCTTTGAATTCATTCATAAGTTCCTTAGTAAGCGCATAAAATGCTTGTTTTGAGGTCGAGCCACTTTTGGCTTGACCGTATTCTTTCAATCAAAACTCAAGAATTTTCCTGCGTGAATTTTGTATAAAAAGCAACCGTCTGAATTCCGGCGATTGCTATATTCTTCACAAAATGCCTTATAATACTCTTCGTTCTACAAAGCAAGCATATCATTGGTTTGAAAACCAACAGATAAAAGAAATTTTAGAAGAATTTCCTCATATGATTGCTTCCCTCGGAAAACCGAGAGAAGAGATTCCGTATGAAAATTCAAGAGGGTAGAAAACATGTTAGAAAAGGTGTTAGATCTAACATTCTAACATAAACATTATTTTTGGGTCATTTACACTCATTACGATGAAATCATGACAAAACATTTACGCTCATTACGAAGAAACCTTGATAAATCATTTATGTTATACAGTAATGTTAGTCATGAATGTTTGTCCTACGTGTTGGCGTTAGTGTTGAAAAATAATGTTTGTCCTACATGAAGCCGTACAAGCGTTTGAATTTGTTTATGAATAAGATTACACTCTTGTTTTCTGTATCTATCATACAAACATAAGCAGCACCTGTTTTTGTAAAGTTTATATGAAGTTTTCGATAGTTGATGTAAGGAAGATACCATTCACCAGGGCTAAACAAGAACTCATCGAAATGAACAAAACACCTTACCAAATGTTTTACGAGGAGTTTTATGAAAAGTTTGTATCCGGATGGAATTGTACAGAGTGCTACAGAAGATATAAAGAATTTGCGAAGGAGAATGAATTCTTTGCATGTAGTTCAAATGTATTTGGCGGCAAGATGAGAGAATTTGTGAAGAGAAGTAGAAAGCGAGACGGTTCTGCAAGAAGTTATATTTACGAAGCAAGTATGATATTAGAAGGTCGTGGAAAGAAAGAAACAGTGAATTATGAGGAAGTGTTTGAAAAATTCATGGAGTACATGGGAAGCAATATAACATACAACAAAGACATATACAGTGAGTTTAAGTACTACTGTGAACAGCATGAGATTGAAGTAATGAGTAAAGGAGACTTTGAAACGCTTATGAAAGACAGTGAGGAGGTCATACATGAGAACAGTGTTGAAATAGTTCATGAGAACAGTGAGGAGGTCGTTCATGAGAACAGTGATGAAATAGTTCACGATGTCGTTCGTGAAGAAGCCATTGCAACAAAGAATGAGATAAAGGATTTCATAGAACTTAACAAGGAGGAGTTTAAAGAAGGCTATGAAGTGAAAAGATGTGAAGAAGATTTCTTGGCGTATTTGAAGAAAAAGAGACTAAAGCCAATGGCTCAAAATAAGTTTCAATCGATGTTTGAAAAGAAACGTTTGAGCTATGGTGGTGTAAGAAGCACATATTACTTTGTTAAGAAGTGAGGACATTTATTTTTGTCGTTAGTGTTGGAGTTTGTACTTGTTGTTAGTGAGAGAATAAATTAAATCATGAACTTTGCCATGGTCTCTGTCCCTAGTAGTTTTCATTAAGTTCTGGAAATAATGAAAGTCATAAACTTTGCCATGGTCTCTGTCCCTAGTAGTTTTCATTATCTCACAGAGTTAATGAAAGTCATACTTTCTATCAGATGAAGCATGCAGATGAACATAATGAAAGTTAGTGAGTTTGCCACGAGTTATGAATAAAATATTGGCATATTAGATGTGATAGCTGATGAAACAGATGAAGATAAATTAAATCTTGGACTTTGCCACACTCTGTCCCTAGTTCCTCAAAATCCTTGACAACGTTGCTTAGAAATTTTGGTTCAAAACCTCATCTGATTTTAATCTGTTATGCTACCTGTTAAGTTTCGCGAGATTATAATGTCATGGAGTTATATAAAAAGGAGGGACAGCTAGGGACACTGGAAGTACTTGTAAGGCTATCTGTTAAGATTGCATGAAATACTAAAAGTCATGAAATCCATTATCGCTGTGCTATCTTCACCTTAGAGTAAAATGACAAATAAAGTCACTGAAGCAATGAAACAAAAGTTTTTGGTAGAATACATTAAATCAGGAACTATTCCAGAAGGTTTTTACATTCATACTATGAAGGATGGTAGAGTTCAGTTTAGAAAGATAAAGCAACCATTAGATAAAGAAGGTATATTAAGGAAGATTAAACTTCATGAGGACAACATTGGTGAACTTAGGAAGAAGTTAGAAGAGTTGGAGAAAGCAGACGACAGTGAGGAATAAAGCAATGAATTCAACAGGTTAGAAATGAGGGTAGAAATGAGGTTAGATCTACCCTTCTACCCTAAACTTATTTTTGCGCTATGTTTTCATACGTGTGAGGGTGGTGATATCATTAATTTTTAAGTTTATTTTTATATAAATGACGAAAACTATTGAGATAACAAACTACAACGGTCATGAGTTCAAGAATTTGTTCTTCGTTCCTCGTGAAAATATAGGGTGTCCAAAGGTGCGTTTAGCACAGCGCTCTATATGAGACTATTAAAGGAGATATATGCTGATTATAAATATATAATAAAAATATGAATATATGTATATGATGATATGTTGTATTTTGGCGCCATGCCGGGATATAAAATGAATTTTGAGACAAGAGGCGGTTTCGCGGGAAATTTTGGCGGGATTTTTTTCATTTTTTTAATGAATCATAAAGAAAACATCCTCGCTCTTGCAAAAAAATGCAAAGACTGTAAAAAAATCTACGAGACATTGGTAAAATGCTTCGGTATGGATGCTCCTAGCTATTCCACTGTAACGTATCATGTTAGGATGTATCACTTCATGAACAAAAAGGCGCCCATCATAAAAATTGACAAAAATCGCCGGATCAAAGAAAAATCAAAGCAATTCTTCAAGCGCTAGATGAAGACCCAAGAGCATCACTCAGAAGGATAGAGGAGATGACAAAGATACCACGTACAACAGTCAGTTATTATCTGCACAATTATTTGAACTACAAACTAGCGTATACACGTTGGGTTCCGCACAACCTTAATTCAGTTCAAAAAAAATCTAGAGTCCAATCTTCGAAAGAGCTCCTCTCTATATTGGGTGCGTATCAATCCAAGAAGTTTCGCTTTTTAGTAACAGGGGACGAGTCTTGGTTTCAATATGCAACAGAAGCCAAAATCATGTGGATCCCGAAGGATGAAAATCCGCAAACATTCCGAAGAAAAAAATTGACACACCAATGATTATGTTGTCGGTTTTTTTGGGCGTGAATGGCATCATCGCAATTGATATTCTTCAAAAACCTAATACGATGAATGCTCAGTATCTAATTGACAATGTTCTTACTCAAATTATCAATTCTGATGAGTTTGGGAAATCCAAACAACAAAAACAAAAGTTTGCAATTCATTTGATAATTCAAGAGTTCACAAAAGTCATAAGGTAATGAATTACTTGGTGGAAAACAATGTCAAAGTTGTTCCAAACCCAATTTATTCACCTGATATTGCACCCTCTGACTTTTATTTATTCGGCACGCTAAAAAGAGAGCTGAAGACGGAATTCGCGAGTCCAGATGATCTTGAAAATTTTGTAAGAGAGCAATTTGAGCAATTTTCTCATGATGATTTAAAGCGTGTCTTTCAAGCCTGGATCGATCGCTGCGAACGCGTGATTGAATCCAATGGTGATTATATTTAAATAAACTTTATATATATGTAACTTGTTTATTTCTATTCGCAGTATTCAGGTTTGTGCTAAACACACCTTTGGACACCCTATACATTCTATCAGATACGAGGGAGAAAGGGTAAAGTTAGTTTGAGCGTTTATGAAGGAATGAAGAATGGAAAGTTTATACAAGCATACGATACAAACGGTAAACGTGTTTCATTACATTTGTCAAAACTTACTAACATTTATTTTGACAGTGACTTTGACCTATATGAAGAAGAAAGTGAGTCAGAAGATTATGAGCTGTTATGTGAAGCACAGCAATGGGAGGAGTTGCAATACTTTTGTAAGTGAGAACGTTTATTTTTTACATTAGTGAGGTCGTTTGTGAAAACGTTAGTGAAGTGAAGTGGTTGGCGGCTTTGTAAATATTTAATGTTAAGTTAGTGTTGTCGTTTGTGTTGTAAAAATATATGTTAATGGTTTTGTAAATATTTAAGGTTAAGTGGTGTACGGAGGCGCGCAGTGCCTCAGTACACGACTTAGCCATACTAACTAACCGTACAGTATGAAAACTTAGCACAAGAAAGTAAAAATAACGACGCAGCCATGCAAAAGGCAATGAAAAGCGCAGAATATATAAAAGCTAATAATGACTGGTTAGATGCCCAAGCCAACGCTAAAGCAGCCCAACTTATAGGGTCAATAAGGACAAAAATACAAGCGGATGAAGACAGTTCAAATGAAGCTTTAATGAATGCTGACTTTAAGAACGCCTTCGAAGCTCTTCATAGTAAGGTGAAACTAGTGAACGACTTCTCATCTGGAAAGAAACTGAAGTCTGAAGGTTTCGACAACGAGTTAAGAGAAGTAGCACAAAATATGACGAAAATAACAGATGCAGCAACGAGACAGGCAGTTCAAAGTGCCTATGACGCCGTTAGAGCAACTGTTGTGGAAAGTCAAGAAAAAGAGTTACAACAGACCAAAACAGACCTAGTAAATGCTTTCTTAAGAACGAAAAGTCAGGTAGGACATTATGCTGCAGATGGAACATATGTGCCAGCTGGTGGAACTTATATACCACCAAACCCTCCAAGAGAAGCACCTGCACCAGGACTACCTAAAACATTTACATCGTCACATGGACACAGACACAGGCATGCACCACAACAACAACCAACAGTTAAAAATCCAGCACCACAACAACAACCAAAACCAACAGTTCAAAATCCAGCACAGCAACCAACAGTTCAAAACCCTGCACAGCAACCAACAGTTCAAAATCCAGCACCACAACAACAACCAACACAGCAACCAACAGTTCAAAACCCTGCACAACAACAACCACAAACAGAGCAAGGACATAAAAGAAGTAGAGAAAAAGGAAACCAAGAATTCTTAAAAATGCTTAAGGAAGATTATGGTTACCCAGATACTCTTGACTTTAGTGACAGATATAAAGAAGCTATTAGAAAGTTCAAGGAAGGAAATACTGACCCGAACCTATTTAGCTTTATGGTTCAGCACCAAATGGGATATAATCTCAAACCTGGAAAATACAAGCTCGCAAAGGGATATGATTTAATAGCATATCATCCAAATGACATGAATGAATTTACTCCGAGATATTTGGTGTCAGAGCTAAATGATAATTTAACTCTCTTCATGAAACGCGTAAAAAATAGAGACGGAACGAAAGAAGAAAGGTTTATGAGTCCGGATGACTTAGATAGGGAACTTTTTAAAAACGGTCTCGGAATATATGAAATGCCAGCAGATGAGGTACAAGAAACTCAACAGGAAGAAGTTCAGATACAACCAGACATGAAGAAATAGTTCAGCAACAACAGCTAGAAGAGCCTGAAGGAAACGAACAAGTCCCTCCTTTGGAAACTAACTTCACAGAACTAGATGAAGATTTGGAACAGCCGAAAAAATCTTGACCCTCAACAAGTGTATGCGGAGAATATGGAATCTTTCCAAGAGTCTAAGAAAAATTCGGCTGACATAGTAGAAGAATATCGAAAAATGTTCGCCGACATACAAAAGACTCCAACATCAGATGAAATATTCAGCATAGAATGGAAGTACTGAAGATAATGTACGCAAATACAATAATCCTTTTTACTTACGACCATATAACGTTCAATCTTTGGCTGAACTCGGTGAAAATAAAAGGTTAAATTTCAACAAAACATATAGAAATGAAACATTGTTTAAAGTTCATTCAGAACCTAACCAATATGGAAACAAACCTACTTTTGTTTCTGCAGACTATGGAACTACAATGAGATGGGGTCATAAAGCTAATCCGGATAGGTGGTTCATAAAACTTACAACCTCAATTCCAAGAAGTTGTAGACGCAATGGAAGTGAATGGTGAACCAGATATAGCTGGTATTTTCAGCGCGGCTTTAATGCCATTGAAAGATATGAAACATGCAGATATTTTGGACCAGTATGAAATGAAACATGGCTGATGGAAATATAACACCTGACGTTCTAGAACATTTATCTCAAAGAACTACACAGAACCATAGAGATGGTATATTTGGTGAAGAGTTTAGAAAGAAAGTTAGGGAGAGAGAAGGAAGAGAACCTATTGTACATGACCTTGCAAACGAAAGTTTGCAAAATGTCATAAAAACTTACTTTGCAGACAATGAACGAGAATGGATGAATATTTAAGAAAACTCAAATGGACAGTACCAAATGAAATGTTAGTATTGAAAAACATGTTCCTTGACAAAATAAAACCAACTACAGAAATA